GTTTAAGGGAGGGAAGAAATTTTGTGAAGTCCACTCCGGTTTCATGCCACTGGATTGCATTCTAAATTAAAACTAGGTTTTTTTTTTTTCCCCCCAATGCATAGAATCCCAGATATGCTTATGCATACTTGAAAATAGAACTCTACCTTGCTAAGCTTCTAAAAAACAGTGGGAAATGCTGTAAAAAGAAAGATAAAAACAAAACACAAACACATCTAGCATATCATCAAACAGACATCCTCTAAAAAACCCCAACCACTTTTTCTTTACTTTTTGAAGCGTGCTATGTTGCTATCACATGTAGTGAAGACAGTCATTTTTCCATGTTATTTGGAGACAAAAGGAAGCATAAATCTAGTCTCCAAACAAAAGAAGTTAGGGAGGGCAACGTAACTAGAACCCATCAAGTAGCAGGGCTAACACAGAAAAATGTGACATAAAAGCTGCTGCGTTTCTGCATAAAGAACTACTTTCCAGTAATTCAAAAGGATAAGGAATTAAGTAATAAAGCAGTATCTACTGTAATTTCCCAAGAGAAACAGTAATGTTAGCGCACTTCAATTCACATATACATGGTTCTGGACATACACGGGTTATTACATTTAAGTATTGCTTCTGTTCAGAGAGATTTCTGTCTTACTGGCCCTCGGAGAACTCACGGCAAGATGCATCCGCCTGGGTGAACAAGGTGCACACTCCAAGTCAAGGCATGGTTATTTCAAGACTGACAAACAAAGCAGGAAATTTCCCTCCATCAAGGAGGAGCAACTAGCAGCCAGATTTAGCAATCAGTTCACTCATTTGAGAGCTATTCTCTACTGTTCTAAAATCCCAATTAAACACTCAGATGTGGAAAGGTGGGGGTTTTCTTGGTTTGTTTGTTCGTTTGGTGTTTTGAGTTTGTATAAGCTTGCCAATTGCGTCATCTTACATCCTTCATTTTATTTTCCCTTGCTTCCTCCAGCCAGGGTGCAAGCTTTGACTCTCATTTATTTTGGTAACCTATATCTTCACAGAGCTGGCATTTATATACTTTACCAAAGATGCCCTCCACAGATGGACATAACTAAGAAAAAGGCACCACTCCCAAAACAGAAATTCAAATCTGGAATGAAGCTTAAAGTAAACGAGAGGGGAAAACAGCAGTAAACACTTTTATGGCAAAGGAATAAATAAAAACACGGACATCCTGGGAGACACAGAAATGAGTGAGTGTAATACTTTTGACAAAGGAAGATAGGAGATGCCTTCATAGTTCTTTGCAGACATAAATCAATGACAATACTGAAACACGGAGCAATCCCCACCCAGAAGCAAACCCACAAGACAAAAACTGGGCAAGAGCAGAATCTTGCTGTAGAGGCAAAGGGTGTATTTTCACCCTTTTCTGCACACAGAAATTCTATTGCAATAAAATGGGCATTTGATGAATAACTCTCCATACACCTGACACAGGCTACTAAAAGCAGAAGGATACTCATTCAGGCCTCAAAAGCAATATACCAACATTAACCTGAGCTATACTGCTTCTAATTTCAGAACCAGCAGGTCATTTGCCCCATGCTCTGTTGCATAGTATAGGATAACCATAAACAAAATTTCTTTCCAGGACTCTCTAACTTACCTGCCTCCTTGTGATGGGGTGACCCTGGCTGGAGGCCAGGTGCCCACCAAGCCACTCTGTCACTCCCCTCCTCCACTGACACGGGGGAGATAAAATACAACAAAAGCACGTGGGTCTAGATAAGGACAAGGGAGATCACTCAGCAACTACTGTCACAGGCAAAACAAACTTGACTCAGGGAAATTAATTTATCGCCATCCAAATCAGAGTAGCATCATGAGAAATAAACCCAAATCTTACACCACCTTCCCCTCGCCCATTCTTTCTTCCCAGGCTCAACCTCACTCCTGATTTCTCTACCTCCTCCTCTCCTGAGTGGCACAGGAGAGCAGGGAATGTGGGTTGTGGTCCATTCATCACATGTTGTCTCTGTCACTCTTTCTACCTCACCCTCTTGCCCTGATCAAGCATGGGGTTCCACCCATGGGAGAGAGTCCTCCATGAACTGCTCCAGTGTGGGTCCTTTCCACAGGGTGTAGTCATTCAGCAATGTGCTGCTTCAGTGTGGGCTCCTCTCTCCACAGCATCACAAGTCCTGCCAGGAGCCTGCTACAGTGTGGGCTCTCCACAGGGTCACAGCCTCCTTCAGGCAACCACTGCTGCAGTGTGGGGTCCTCCACAGGCTGCAGGTGGATCTCTGCTCCACCATGAATTTCCATGGCTGCAGGGGCACAGCCAGCCTCACCACGGTGTTCAGCATGGGCTGCAGCAGCAATCTCCACTCCAGGGCCTAGAGACCCTCCTCCCCCTCCTTCTCACTGACCTTGGTGTCTGCAGAGTTGTTTCTCTTGCACATTCTCACTCCTCTCTTCCAGCTGCTGTTACGCAGCAGTTTTTCCCGCCCATTCTTAAATATGTTATCACAGAGGCACCACCACCATGAATGATGGGCTCGGCCTTGAACAGCAGCAGGTCCATCTTGGAGCTGGCTGGCATTGCCTCTGAGACAGGGGAAGCTTCTAGCAGCTTCTCACAGAAGCCATCCCTGTAACCTCCCCCTACCAAAACCTTGCCATGCAAACCCAATACACTTCTGAACATAACATGATGTTTAAATTGTTAAAAACTTTATCATCATAAAATGAGATGCTGTAGCAACAAACTGTCTGTAGAGAGTATCATGATTCTACGCAAGCTTGTATAACTGTTTCTGATTTGGTACATACATATGGTCTTGTGCTCTAGTGCAGTGATCATAAAGAAACAACAAAACTAATTACTGCAATAATCCAATTAGAAGATGTACCATCAGCCACACTTCTAAAGAAAGCTCCAAATTGAAAATCTTACTTGCTTTTGGCATTGCTTTGCCTGACTTTTCTATTGTTAAGAGACTCATTCTATAGTTCAGATCACCAATGATCTCACTCCTGATGGCTGCTGTTTGTTGTATAACACGATTCCTTCCCACATTCATCTAGAAGCGATGTATTTTAAAGAAAGAAATCCATCTCTAGTCTGTGCCTGAGCATAGGAATGACCATATTTCACCCTCCACGTTGCACAGGTTCAGCTGCTTCTTAGTAAATGAGTTTAGTTCATAAGAGACCATAAATGTTCTGAGTACCCCTATGCACAAGCAATCCCACAGCAAGTAAAGCTGACATGAATAAAATCTGTAGTTAGACTGTAATTACTGCTAGTGAAATGGACTGAGTAGATGAAAATATTGGCAGCAAGCTCTCTGAAGTGATTCATTCCTGTCTCTAGTTAATGTAAAAAGAGGTAAACATGCCATATTTGCTCAGACTAAGTGAAACCACTGGACTTTGAAGTCAGAAAAATACATTGAACTCTCTTAAGGCCACAACTAGAGCATAGTAACATCCACCTAAGCTTGTGTTCCTATGCTCCCCCTTCCCCTTCAAAGCACCCCTTGGTGATTACATTTTCTTCCACAGCCTTTTCCATATTCACATAAAACCGCTAAAAGAGGGCACATATTATGCAGCTAAAACTTTTCTGTTCTTTCCAACAAATGCAGGTGCCCATCAGCTGGCTGAGTCAGATGCTACAGAGGTGAAGCTTGATGAAAACTTGCATTGGAAGTACAGCAGTGGGTACTTTCCATCAGATAGCTGCTTCTCATTTGTCAGCAAGGTTCACCACTGACAGGTGTAGTTGTGTTGGGTGACTTCTTCACAATCATCTCTAACTCTCCTACACAAATATGTCCTAGGAGTCTAGACTTCATCTTTCCCAACGATGACCTGACCTCAAATCAGATACATCCCCACTGCATACTGGTTAGATTAGTACCATACTATTTACCTGAAATGTTAAAAATATTATCCCTGAACTAATAAAGATTTGGAACATGAAGTACCTATCACTGTGAAGAAGGTGCTACAGACAGCATAGTCAGTCACTTCAGCAGCCAATTACAGGTTTTGTCATGTTTAACTATGGTTTCTTTCAAAGATCTAAAATGGCATATGTCAAGAAAAGTCAAGTCATTATTCATATGCTTTCAAACTCTGTTCATCACCAGCAGAAGTGTTGCAAAGCTTAGCCAGAAGGTGAGGTTTTAATCTATATTTAAGAGAAATGGTTCTAGTCTTCCCTGCAAAAAGAAGTGAGGCTTATAATAAAAAGTACCAGAATTCATATTTGTAGAGCAACTCACAGTCTATTTGCTTAAAATACTAAATTAAAAACTAAACCAAAACATAATTTTAGTTACGTGTAGTTACATGAGTTTATTTTGAACTCTAGCCAGTTCTGTAATACCTAATATACCAAGTGCAGTATAAGAATAGCTAGACAAGACAGTACAGTGCTGAATAGTTATTTTGGCATTGTAGCTTTTTCCTTGTTGGTAGGGTTGGGGAAGAGGTCACACGGTTGTCAGCAGTCCCCTTTCCACAGCCATCAGGCTCCTGCAACTTCATCTAGGAGATGTGCCAGGACTAGCTCAGGCACAGCTCAGGTGGCAGCATTTACCACCCCACAGCCCAACACCTCCTGGGGGGCTCCTAGGCAAAGCACTCAGTATCCCAGCTGCCTAATAATCTCAGCACCTACTTCCCTCATGCTCCATACTCTAACCTTCTCTGGGTCTGCTACCTTGCTTGCAACCCTGCTGGCGTCCAACAACCCCCACCACTTTTAGTTTTTTCTTCCCCATGCCCACAGATGTCCTCTTTCTGATTACCAATTCTTGACATGCTGCTCTGTAACAGAAGTAGCACTGGCAACTAGGGGCTCCTACGCTACTTTATACTGCGAGCATTTAACTATTTCACTGGCAACTGTGATGGTGTCTCCCTATCAACGTTACAACATTAGAACAGTGTGAAGTGTCAGTATTTGTTGGGCATTAATAGCCTAGCTAATGTCAAGGTAACAGGATAGCAGCAGTTGCTGGAATACTTGCCCCCATTTTTCCCCACTGTTCGGAAACACCTCCAGAAGGTCCGAAGAAAAGACGCCCTGTTATGAGGGGTAGCTTGAACAAAGCTGAACTCACGGAACAGGATGTGTGTTCCTTGACGCACGCTGTTAAAACTGTGGAGACAAAGTCAAAACAAGAAAACGTTAGAAAGCTGAACTGAAGTGAATGTTCTAGGGGAGCTGGAACAGTAGCTGTTCCACTGCAGAAAACCACTGGCAATTACAATTTCTGAAACCAAATCCCCAAAGCTTATACCCATCTGTTCTCTAGAGAGAAGACTATTTGCGAAAACCACACATTGGAACTTAATTATAGGAATTAGAGGTTTGTGAAAGTTAGATTCATTCTAAAAAATCCCAGCAAGGGGTGTCCAAGAGCCACTTATTTGAAACCAAGCCATTGGAAAATGACTAGCCAAGAGTCTGTTGTTTATCTGACCAGAAGATGCCCTTTCTTTTAGTACCATTTGAACTGCACTGCTATTCTCACCAAGGTTTTTGGTGAAGCCACAAAATAAAACAAATCCTCTTTAACAGAATCCTCAAGATTTCATTTCTAGGTTACTGAAACTTCACTGTACTAGGTGTATAAAATCTACTTCAGTTATCATGAAAACCAGATTGACACTTCACTAAAGGACATTTTGCACTAGTGCAGTTTGAAAAGAGTAGTTGGTCATTAGGATGGATAGTCAAGTTGATACGCCCATTCTTGTATTTTAGTACAATTTTCTCACATGTGAGTTGTAAGCACTTTAGGCTAACTTATTACAGAAAACGTTTGGCTTAAAAAGGTTTCTCTGAAGTGTAAGAAGCTCTCCTTTGGGCATGGCAAAGCTCAACAAGCAAGAACAATAGAAATGCAAATACAAACATTACATACGAAAAGGTATAATGACAGGGTTGCCTCAAAGATAGATTTTGTGCATTTCACTCTACATCGTTCAAGTGGCACAAAGCTTTCAAACACTCCAGAGAGATCATTAAAAACATTCACTTGGGACAGCAGCTTAGTGCTCCCCGCACAGGAGAGAATTAATGAAAAGATGCAAGTCGACTTTCATCACAGCAGAACCTCTCCATAGGTAGCATCTCCACTACAGAAAAAAAAAGAAATCCAGTGGTCAGTGTGAACCCTCTCAATCTGCAATTTTAAACCACCTCTTTAAATCTAGTTTAAATTACTTTATCCTTCATAGCACACAGAAAATGCTCTCACATTTGAAAGAGAACAATATCAGACTGAATTAAGCAAAATTAAAAAGACATGTAACAACTGGGGGGGCAACATTGTGGAGAGCAGCCAATTCAATTTTTTTTTAAAAGAATGACAATTTCTGGTTTTTAATGTCCTGGTTCTCAAAGGCAATGAGTAAATGGACTTTTTTTGTCAGGTGCTGAAAGCTAGGTGCAGAACACTCTGTCTAGCCCTCCTACCCAGAAGGAAGTGCAACCCAAAATAAGTACAATCACCTTATGATTAAGAAACACTCGTGACTCTGGAATTAGGAATAGTATTTCTGTAAATATCATGGACAAATACATTATTTCACATGTATGAAACTGTATTCATTCACCAGTGCTATGCACACCAGAAGAAAGCACAGTCATTGTCCCAGGACATTAAAGTAAATAAAATGTGCCTGATCAAAATATGCCAAAATTACAGGAAAGGGCTCCCATGGCTATCCCTGTAAGAGTATTCATTACAAAGTGCTGTAGCTCACTGCCTTAGAGTGAATGAGTTCAGAGTAAGAGAAAGTAACTTGCATAAAGTCCCACAAGATGCCTGTGACAAGGCTGGAAATAGGATTTCAGATCTTCTCATCCCAAACCACAGCCTCTAAGACTTTTTCATGCCCGATTTGCATTGTTTTGCTGATGATCTGACAGGCTGATGGAGAAGAGAGGAATATGGATGAAAAAGAAGAAACTCGGTTTAATAGGAGAAGGCAGCTTTCAGAAAGATGACACACGTAAGGGAGATGTTTAGGAAGCGAAAGAAGATGAAGGTACAATGATACAACCAAATGCACCAAATTATGTTGCTCAGAACTACAGCACATGCAATGTTTGGAAGTAGATCCTGGCACAATTGTAATAGAAAGGTCCAGACATGAAGCTAAGATACTCTTAATTCACAGCAGACAGCCCTGTTATATTATTCCTTAGTTCTAATAAGTGAAAACTGAAGTCACTTGCATTTTCAGCATGGGATGGCTCTAAACCTAGCAGGCAGAAGGGTATGATATAATTTGTTGTTGCTTACTCAGTTAAAAGAGTGGGTGGATACGTTGGAACATCAGCACACCTGGATGTGCTGAAAGCCAAGTGCCGCCAGCTAGTTGAGTAGAAGAGGTACAATATTTCTTTCATTCCTCATTTCTTACAAGAAGACTTTGTTTAACTATAACAGTGGAAGGATTTTCCCCGAGAAGTTCAAGTCTGCAAGCATGGGAGTCAGAAGTTTATAACTGTTATGCTGCATTTCAGAGACACTATTTTACAAATGTCTTAAGTTGTAAAAGTTCCACTCAAAGAAGCTGGCCCATGATGGAGCTATCCAGCCAGCAGCCCAATGGCAGATCAACAGATCTCTTCTCAGGCAGGGTCAAGATCACTACAAGAGACAGAACACTATGTTTTGAATTTTCTTTACATGGGTAGATAGGCACTACAAAAATAACTGAAAATGGGTAGATATAGATTAGATATCAGGAAAAAAAAATCTGCACAGAGAGGGAGGTGAAGCACTAGAACAGGTTGCCCAGAGAAGTTGTGGATGCCCCATCCCTGGAAGTGTTCAAGGCCAGGCTGGATGAGGCTTTGAGCAACCTGGTCTAGTGGAAGGTGTCCCTGCCCATGGCAGGGGGGTTGGAAATAGATGGTCTTTAAGGTCCCTTCCAACACAAACCTTTCCATGATTTTATGATGCCTTGTATATTGGTTTATAGAACCTGGCCACCTTTTCCTTCACAATCACCAAGAGGTGAAGTTACCATTAATTAACGTGGCAAGTAGTAACGGTCTGCAGGTAAACCTTTTGGGAAGAAAGGGAAATGGTGATGACCCAAAATTGTTGCAGGTATTCTTTTTTTAGTATGATCAACACCTTACCTAAGGTTTTATATTCATGCAAACAGATGTATTGTCCAGTTCCTTCTGAATGCCAAAATAAAACAATCTGCAGACTCAGGGGAACGGCTTCAGTAAGCAAGATACGAACAGCAAAGCAACAAACTTCACTCAAACATTCTCAGCAGGTTTACCAGCTGCTGAGATGCTTCCCTTAGGATTGCTCAGCCCTGCCTCTCACTGAACAACATATACTCCTAGCAAAGTTAGGTGGCCAGAGCTTATCAGCACGTTTGCAGGAGAAACACTTATGAACAAACTATCTCAACAAGGTATGGTTTCTCTGCAATCATTTAGAAATGGGTTTGTGAACCCAGAAGCAGGGAAAATACTTTTTCACTGCTCTGGTTAACTTCTCCCTTCCCTGTTTTAGGCATTTAGTGCAGCCATCTGCTAGAGATTCTTTAACTAGAAAGCTTTCAACAACTCTGCCAGTGTCCAAACATCCTATTGCAGACCTAATGGTTGCCTCAGCCCTCTACATTACCAATAAAAGCAGTATGCAAAATAGAACATTAACAAAAGTTACTGATTACCTGATTTTGTCTAGCTGAAGCTGAGACTAGAAACTGAACTGAATGTCCATTAGCTAGCACCAGTCCACTGCAAACACACATATTTCACACAAGAATTGTTCTGCAACTGTATACTCCATTAACAAAACAGCTTTTCCCATTCCCTTGTGAGAAAATTTTGGAGAAAGGTGAGAGAAAAATAAAGCAAGGTTCTTGCTCCAAGGGAAGGTCTAAAGAAACTTTTGCAGTAGGGACTGCAAGGTGCTTACTTTTTCACTCCTTTCCTTCACATGCCCCAGAGCAGCCAAACCACAGAACAATCTCTTCCAACGCCACTGCTCAGAAAGCTGCATCTTGCAGCACACCCAGTCTACGCTTCTGGGATGGCATGTGCAGGTGAGAGGAAGAAAATAACATTTTGGGAAGAGGCTGTGACAAAACAGCCCCAGCTCTCAGAAATGGCTAAGCTGGGAACTCTAGCACTCAGGTGCTGCTTCTCTGAGCAGAGCTGCTTCAAGAACGGCTTTATTTTTTGTGCAATTACATTTCGGCAACTTGCCAGAGTTCAGAAACTTTCAAGCACTCTTAGACAATCTATTTAGAAGCCCAAAGGTTTGAAAAGTCCCAGGATGCTATGGTAACATCCCAACTGAAACCCACTACAGCAGTTAGCCTCTGCCTGCTAAACTCGAGCAAAGCCAAATATGCACAATGCCAAGGGAGCCCCAAGTCCCCGTGAAGGACAGAAGAGCTTTTCAGGACCTTGCTGTTCCCCCAGCAGGTGCCACCTCTGGTTACCATGCTAAGAGCTGAATGAGTTCACAGGACCCTTCCTCTACTAAATAGTAAACAAGGATCAAGGACCATTTTTCCTTAACGTATACCATTACTGCTTTAATTTTCCACCAAGAACATGACGAAGGAAGAAAAACTTACTTTGAAGGCTTATGCTGCCTCTCCAGTGAGAAAAATTCCCCCCCACACACTATTTTTTCTTCCCAGTTACACAGGTGTCTAAGTCATTAAAATAGAACTGTCTTAAGTGAAAATAAGTTACTCTCAAATGCAAGGTCGGCATCAGAGGCTATGTCTCGACTTAAACAACTGTAGACAGAAACTGTGCAGAGGACCTAATGTTAAGATTATGGGTATCTCAAGGTTCGTTTGTTCTTGAAACACGCTCTGGACTAGCTCTAGTCTGGTCCCATGGGCTGAACGCTCATTTGCAGTTGGAACACATCTTCCCATTTAGTTTCATCTGAAAAGAACCCAGGTCACAAGCTCTGAGACGGCTTGGTGATGTGAACCAAAGCACAATAAGTAGGGATAATCAGGAGTATTAGGATTAGAGACTGTGGTACAATGGGTAACAACAACAACAAAAAAATAGCTCTAGCAATAGAAAATGCTGAAATTCAAAAGGGTTTAAAACCCAGGCAATTTCTGTTGTTAAATAACTCATCC